AAATCTTTGTTCGTTAAGTAAAAGGTAGTGTGGTTGTTAATGGGTTAATCTGCATGCAATAGTTGTAGAATTATCAATAGTTTTAATGTGGTGCTAGGCCCAACGAGGCTGCCATTTGTTTACATTTGAAACTGTTAGTAGAGTAGTGAATTAAGTCAATTGGTCCACCAACTTCAGTGTCTTTTTGCATAGTAAAACACCAAAAGTTAACATTCAATTTTGTTCACCAAAAATTTTGTCTTCCTGCCTACTGGTCGAATTACTTGTTTTGGGGTAAAAAAAAAAAAAAAACCTTTAATTGAAAAAATCATTTGATAACTTTTTTTAACTGTGTTTGGTATAGATTTTTCTGTATTTTACTAATTTTATTGAAGATGTTGCAAAATTTTATGTATTTTTGCTTTAGCATAAAGTGAGAACTGAATTGACTGAATGAGAAATATATCTATAATGAAATTCATGGAAATAAGTTTAAATGAAGTGCGGCAAAAAATGTTTATAATTTAATAGGCAATGCAAGGAAGTCATGTGGTGTAACATCAGATATTTTCTATTTTAATTGCTAATCTATTGATAATTCAGAAATCATTTAAATAAATAGTGGTATTTTAATTATGCATGTGTGTGTATGTATGCACACATTTATATATAAGAATTAATCCAAAATAATTTTTAATGTATTTAATTCCTTATTACTGTCTTTTAGAAGACAATCTGAAATCGACAACAGTCCATCAAAAGTACCAACTAAGCGAAAAAAAATGAAAAAACATTCAGAGAGTGATGATGAAACATGTTCACCTGGTGTAAATGAAGTAAGATATTTTATAAAATTATATAAAATTATATTTATAAAGATATTTATAAAATTTAGATTTCAAATATTTCTTCATTCAATGTAAAAATCCCTGCTCTGTGTGTCATGTAAGTTGTAGATTTATTTATAATTTTCTTTATTGATATCTGTATATTTAATCATCTTATTTTTAACTATTGTTTAAATACACTTTTAAGCATAAATTTTTAACAGTTTCTCATTCATATAAACTGTGTTGCATTAATCATAAAAATTTGTGACAATTCAGAGAAAATCTGTGTAAAGAATTAACTTTTGTCAAAGCTTGGTTATATGTGATTTCATCTCACGTGGTAAATATTTAAATTTGAATTATTATTACTAAAACTTGATCACTTCTAAATAATCATGTTGAACAAAAGAATTCTTTTTCTTTCTTTCTTTTTTAATGAAAATAGTGAATTCATCTCAATGCAAGAAATGTGTTGTGTACTACAGTTCACTTATCATCTTCTAATAAAATATTTTTCAATAGCTATTCATTACAGGTTGTGTGCTTTATACCTTAGGTTTCCTGGAAGTGTTAAATTAGGTATTATCAGCAAAAATTGAGTAACCATGCTGTAACTTGATTTGAAACTAAAAAATTGTCACCATAGTACCTGTGATCTATAATGGTAGAATGAAAGTTTCAAAATGCAGGCTAAAATACCATGGGCTGTGAAAAAGCAAAGTACTACATATCAGCTAATCTAATACTGTCTTCTCATGCACTTGTATATTCATTTCAGATTGATATAACTAAATATGGGAAATTGAAATGGTCATTTCAGAACCTTATATTCGAGTTATCGTTGACTTCTAGTTCACATTCTGAATGGATAGCCATAAAATCATCATTGAGAGAATTAAGGCTATCATTGTTCAGTCATTTGACTTATCTTTATTTTCATATCCCTATTTTGCCATTTTAAATTTGCTTCCTTTTCGCCTTTAGAACTCCACATGATCTTATTATCACCATAATAATGTGGCTGTAATTGGGGGGGGGGGGAGCTGAAGTTACATCTTTGTTACAGTCATGCCATATTATTGCAACTTTCTGGCTCATTTATTTATTTACCATACTAAGAGCATAAAGCATAAAAATAATTATACTGTTAGTGCTTAGAAACTACTAGTCTGTTAATAGTAGGAATTTATATAATCCTGTTTAACACATCTCTTGTAATGAACCATTTTGCTGTGAATCATTGAAAATTTCTCACAAGTTTTTTGAAGATTAGACTCAGTGTTAGAATCTATTACTTTCATGGGTATGAGAGAAAAGTTGCCTGTAGTATATATATTTTTAAGCATAAGTTTTACTGTGAAAGATGCCTTGTTGAGTAAACGAGAAGACAGTTGTTTCTATTTTTCTCAAGAAAAGTACTCTAAAATACTTTCTGGAATATCTCTGCTAAAACTACGTTTAGTGCACTTCTGGATTACAGTTAATTAAAATGCTTTGATATTTTAAAAATTAATGATGAAAGGAAGTTAATTGTAAAATGAGGATAAACAAATTAACAACATTATGTTACCAGTAATTAAATGTATAGCATACTATCTGAAATTCACACCAAAATAGGCCATGAAGGAAGAACAGATATTTAAGTTAAATATAAAAATATTACATATGGAGTTATATTGTTATATTTAAATGTATGTTAACAGTGTCAAATGAAACACTGTGTACCTAAAAAAAAAAGAAACTGTTGTGAAACCAGTTGTCAGTTCAGAATTAAATTCAACATATCACGTCAATCTGATAAACCTGCAGTCACACAGGTATGGCAAATATAAGTTCATAATGGTGTATCAGGATCATTTGATGAAGTTTGTCCAACTACGACCTTTTAAAACTAAGGCAGCTGGAGTCTCAGCTTTTTCAAATATTTTTAACGTTTGGTGCCCCAGCTATATTGCATTCAGGTAATGGTAAGGAATTCAGTAATCAAATCAAATCTGAACTCTGCATTATGTGGGAAAATTTAAGATAGTATTTAAGAAAGACCAGTATGGATATACAGAACATGTTAAGTGCATGGATGAAAATAAACAATACAAATAAGTGATTAAATGGTATGCCCTTTGTTCAATTTGCCAAGAACATTACATACCACAACGGAATGCACCAAATTCCTAATGAAGCCCTGTTTGGTGTTAAATCAAAAAGAGGCATAGCATCATCATCTTTGTTTGGCAAATAAATCGCAGATGTTTAAATCAAAGAACAGCTCAAAGAAATTGTTAATACTTTTGTACTTTTGAAGAAAATTTTAGCAAGGACTATACTGAAAACCATATTCTGAAGGGAAATATTGGAGAGGAGCTGCAAGCTACCATTTCTTCATATTAGCCCTGACTGAATGACCTGACTTTATTTTGGTAAAAGAGCAATCACAAAAGAGATTCTTCTACTACAAGCAATGAAAATATTATGAACCTCAGAGTGAAAATTTCCTCCTGCTCAAATATACAAATACAAGTCCCTGATGTTGCCTGTGATCGTACAGATGTCCAAAACGTGTTGGAAAGTGTAAATTTTACGTTTGCAATAAAAAAAATTGTATACCATCAATCACATTAAGTAAGGTTATTATTAGTGTTCTATTCTCATTTAGAATGTACTGTTCATTTTAAGTTGAACAGTTTATTTACGTGTGCTGTAACTTAAGCTTTCACCTGTTTTGACATATATGTTGATAATATGACATGTATATTTAAAATGTTATTAAAATAACAGAAGTGTTATTAAAAAACATAACAAAAATATTTTTATTCAACATTACCATCAGTGCATGGTGAATGTCAACATTTGCTAGTGTAAGTAAGAAATACACAGGATATTTAGCAAATATTTTAGACATACACTAAGCATTAACACTAGAATTACAGAAGGGGTCATTTTGACACCTAGCGAACTTTTATCTCTGACAGCTCTTCTTTTTTTTCGCAAATAACTTAATCTTTTCTCGACTTTTCCTAAATCTTTGTGATTTACGAAATAGTAAGGATTTCAAGAAAATCGTTTTTTTATTCTAGCCCTAACAAATGATTATACCTAGAAATACGGCAGGTGTCATTTTGACCCCTTTGAAAGAAAAGAAATGTGAATACATTCCATTGTATTATCTGAACACTGTCACTTCTGTAAACTATTTTTATTTGTAGTTTCACATCTGCCAGTCACATGATTTGAAATATGTGCAATATTTTTCTTTGTGGAAAGAAAACAGAGAAAAAAGATTATTACGAGCTGAACATTTGTAGATTTTTCATAGATATTTTGTTTATTATTAATAACAAGTTTTAGTGGGAACTTTTATTTTATTTACATGAATTTATTATAGTGAGGTACTAATGGTGCGTAGAAAAGGACTGATGCATGAAGAAATCGTAAAACTGATGCAAGAACTATGTGATGCCGATTCCAGTTCTGAAATCGAAAGTAATTCTACAGATAAAGATGGAGATGAAACATCTTGTGATTCTGAATTTATTATAGAGTAATCAGGCAGTATCATCTTCTAGCTCAAGTGAAAGTACAAATGAAATTGTTTCTAAAAAGGAAGGACCGACATCCTATGCTAAACGTGACATTGGTTCTGGTAAAGCTCATTGGTAAAGACATTGTATTCTGGTAAAGTTGTTTAAGTTGCTCGTAGTGCGTGGAAGTTAATAATAAATGAAAATTTTTACACGTCATAAAGGAGTGTACTGATGCTGAAACCAAGCGTAAACTTCATAATGACTCTTTCACTATATTTAATTAGCAGAACTTGAAGCATTCATAGCGTTGTTGTACGTAAGAGAGGCATTAGCCGCCAAAGGCTCGCCAATTCTTTGTTTGTGGTCCAAGACTTGGGGACCAAAGTTTTTTCATGAAACTATGAGTAGAGATAGGTTTCTGGAAATTATGAAATTTCTTCGTTTTGATAATAAACTAACAAGGTCTTCACATTTGCAGTGTGATAAATTTGCACTAATATCCGAAGTATGGAATACTTTTATAGAAAACTGTAAGCTTTGCTACAAGCCAAATAAAACATTACGATTGATGAACAGTTATTCCCTACAAAAACAAGATGCCATTTTTTGCAGTATATGCCTAACAAGCCCGATAAATTCGAATAAAATTTTGGCTAGCAGTAGATGTTAGGACAAAATACTTATTAAACGGATTTCCATATTTAGGAAAAGATGAAATGAGACCAAGTGATCAGAGTTTAGGAGAGAACGTAGTAAATTGTTTAGTTGATCCTTACAAAAATACTGGCTGAAATATAACAACAGACAGTTTCTTTACATCAGTAAAACTTGCAAAATCCCTAAAATAAGAAGGATTGAGTCAGGTTGGAACAGTAAATCGTGCAAAAAGAGAAATTCCCTCTAGTTTCAAAAATGTAAGAAACGAACTTTTTTCTTCAGTTGTGATGAAACGCTACTATATAACACTTACATCATATCAAAGTAAAAAGAACAAAAACGTAATTTTATTAAGTACACTCCATTCATCAGTTAATTTTAATCTAATGAAAAGAAGGTTCCTGATGTAATACAGTTTTACAATTCTACAAAATTCGTGGTAGATGTTTTGGATCAAATCGCAAGAAAGTACTCCGTGAAAGCACCAGCACGCCGTTGGCCAGTACATGTATTCTACAATATTTTGGACTTAGCAGGCATAAATGTTTGGAAACAAAATTATAAAGCTTCTTCAGTGTATAAGAAAGTTACAAAAGAAAATATCACCAGAAAGGATGACTAATATACAGTAAATCCGGACTTATCGGGACTTCGGCGATTCCGGATTATAGATCATCAGTTTAAATCTGGTAAGATGGCATGCAGAAATTATAAAATGAAAAATATGAAACCGTAATTTATGAAATAAAAAACAATTATGATCTAAAGGGTATCAAAATTTACAAAAAGAAAAAACTTAATATTTATTTGTTTACTTTATTAAACATTTCTTTCAATGTAAGTTGTTTAAGTTGCTTCGTTTCATGTGATAATACTCTTTCTTTAATTCTATTAAACAGACATAATTTCTTGTTCAGTTACAAAGTTCCGCTGTTCAAGTCCTATAATTGCTGTGTCGAGAATATTGACTAATTTGTCAGTCGAAATTTTTTCGTTTTCAATAACCTCTGTGTCACTTTCTTCATTATCGGAAGTGAATTATAATGATGAGGAATTTGATTTAAATCATATCAAAGACAGAGTACAACGAGATGAAATACTACATTTAGTAAGGAATTAGAAGCCAAATAAAATAAAAACATCTGCCCTGAAGATAAGGATAGTGCTGACAGATCAACTTCCAATACATTGCGCGCCGCGGCGTTCTCCTCCCCAACCCACCACAGAGCAGCTTGAAATTGATAAACAGATTTAGGAATGGTTAGAGAAAAAAAAGGATATGCCTTTATCCATTTTTTACAGCAATTCCACTTTTTGTTTGATGGACATGGAAACATACTTTCGCTTTGCAGATCCTTTGGGAGCTCCAGCATCGGAAATTCTATTTGACATAATAGAAAGTTCAAGCTTACTTTTATAAAATTGCTCTAACAGTCTGCAAAAAATAATAAGCCAAATCCAATTCGAAGATTAAGGAACAACGCAATCTGCAACATTAACTGAATTAGATAATTTTAACTTAGCCTATACCGTCCGTTATACATTAAACGCGCATTCATAAACGTATATTGCGCACGCGCACACTTGTATTCGCAGCTGTAAAAGTCTTGACGCATGAGACGACAGGCGCAGAAAGTTTGTAGCTTTGAGGTCTGGGTTATAGATCATTCCGGATTATGGGTGTCCGAATTAACGACTTTTGACTGTATTATCTGTAAATAAAATATTTCCATATATTTCTATTTCTTTGTACTTTTTATAGCAAAACGTTTGTTTCAAAATACTTTAATATTTGGATTATAAACCACTTTTTTTGGAAAAATTTGCGTAAATATTTATGCATTTTATTTTCTGTGTTTCTAAAATTTAAGCTATCGAAAATGAAAAAACAAAAATTGCTTTTTCCGATGGGAATATTTAAATGCTTGTTCATTATTTGACTACATACCTACAAAGTGTCTATATTCTTTAAAATAAACTGTAGTTGTCATAATTTGCATTATTTTAATTTCTTTTTCACAAATATATTATATCATATAGAGAAATATGCAGATATCTTATCAAGGGGTCAAAATGACACCCGCCGTAATTCTAGGTATATGAAGATTACCGTAATTCTAATGCTGACACTCACTGGAGAATATCTAGCAATGTATATTCACCGGAATACATCTAGCAACTCTGACTATTTTCATATAGCTTTAACCAAGATGTGAACGACAAATATTGGTTAAATTTACTACATGAGAAAGTTTCCTTTAATGATTTTCTTATGTTGATCTTATTTATACACTTTGAGAAAAATATATCTAGATACCAATAGGTTTTTGCATTTAGTAATCTGCAAGTAACATAAATAATTACATTCAGTAGAATTTTAATAAGTTTTTGAACACTTAGCAACTCTTCACAGTTATCTTTTGATACTAAAGACCGATGTATATGTTACCTTGAAAAATCGAAATTGGAGAATGTTGATGTTCTCCGATGAATTTCAACATGTACCAAATACATCGTTGAAAGGCAAAATATTTGGTTATGTTCTTATACATTTGGACCATCATCAGTGTATGTTGACAAGCACAGATATACTGTGGTGCAAGTCGATAAAAGAAACTGAGAAGACAGACAGAGAGGCATTGTAAAAGGAAGGGGCTCTTGTGCAATTCAAAGTGCCATACAGTTTAAGTTGTTGCAATTAAACAAGATTGTATAACATCAATCATATAACTAAGTAAGCTTATTATTGGTTTTATTTTCTTTTCTCACATAGCATGTACTGTTTGGTGCTGCTAGTTAAGTGTATCCTATTTTGACTTGCATCATATGTTTAAATAATAAAGTATAATTTAAAAATTTTCATTGAAATTCAAACAAACATTTTTTTATTTGTCTTTTACCATCAGTGCATGATGACTGTCGACATTTGCTGGTGTAATTGAGTAATAAAGATAACTGGCAGATATTTTGGACATACACCAAGCAACTATGTGAATGTTGACCTTCACCGGAGAATGCTAACATTCTCCATTGATTTTGGTCTTTAACGGCAATACATGCAGTACAAAGTCCGATATCAGGACTCATGAGTACTTTGGTGATTCCAGATCTGAGATTTTTTTGTATATTAGATCATCAGTTTAAATCTATTAAGATGACATATAGAAATTATAAAAATAAAAATATAAAATAGTGGTTTATGAAATAATGAAACATTTATGACCTTAAGGGAAACAAAATTTACAAATAAATAAAAGCTGAATATTTATTTGTTTGCTTGATTAAACATTTCTTTCAATGTAAGTTGTTCAAGTCACTTCATTTTATACTAATACTTTCTCTTTAATTCTACAGATAGACATAATTTTTTATTCAGGCATAAAGTTCCATTCTTCAAGTCCTGTAATTCCTGTATCAAGAATTCCCACTAAATTGTCAATCAAAATTTTTTTCCTTACTGTAATGTCTGTCACTTTCTTCACTATTGGTAGCAATAATTTCTGGATTTAGAACTATACCACAAATTTCACCGGCTATTAGTTGATTGACTGTTGGAGCACTGCCATTGCAATGAAAAACTTCTGCTATATCATCTTCATTTATAACCACTTCTTAACAATTTTCATTGACTGGAAAATTTCACTTTTTACTTGCCATATCTGAAAAATCTTCAAATTCGTGGCTATCATCCTAAAGCGTAATTAGCATCCACTATACACTATTGACAATGTGTCATGAGATTGACGACTAAAGATATAGTGTTGCTCTAAATTTTGTGTTGCTTTTATCACACGTTGACAAAGCCTGAATTTTATTACTTTAGTTATTTATTATTACACTTACTTCATGCATAAGCTTAAGGTTCATCTGAGTCCAGAATAAATAAATTTACCATATGTTGAAGGCTTATTCAGGGCTGGTGCTAGACAGTTTGCAGTTTGGTGCAGTCTCTGTGGGTTCTAAATTCCACTGCCACGTGCTTTCCCAAATTCTAAAAATTTTGCACTGTAATGCCTTCCCTAATCTCTTGCCATTACTTAATTTTGTTACTCCAATGCTTCTTAAAATTTTGAAAATTTTGCAACTCTAAATTCTGCTGTCCAGTGCTGCTGCATCAGCTGTACCACTGGTCTTAGGCTTATCTGAATTACAAATCAGTTTACTCTATTCAGGCAGGATTAAGTATAATCTTTTGACCTATGAGTATCATTTATAAAGTCTATTTTTTACATATAGAAAAAATGTCTAAAATTTCTCCTCATTAATACACCCAACACTTTGCAATGTAGTTAGCTGAAGTCTGTAATCATTGCCAAGCATACTTTAAACATAAAATATTACTATTATCTTTGGTATTCAATTACTAATATTTAACAAAAAAAAAGTTTAGTCTTTGTTGCATAAGTCCTTTCTCAAGCTGCCATGTGTTGATAGTCATGCGTGATCATGGACGAAAAAAAGTAAATAATGATTTGACTGATTAATATCTCTGACTCACATCAGAGATATAAATTATTAAGCAAGTGTAAAATCAATAATGTTTTGTGTATATAGAGTGTTTCATTTTGAGATGTATGCCAAGCAGAAAAGCCAAATTATTACTATGCAGATTTATCCTAACAAATGAAATAAATGACTGTATCTTCAATATGAAGATATTTTATTTAGTGTTGAAGTGAAATTAAGAATCGAAACTAACTAAAGGAACCCTGAAAGGGTTAACCATTGCAGTTGTGCCAGAAGAATTATGATGAGCTGTTATTCAATCAAAGAAATGGTTGCTAACAGTGGGTCTGTTGCATACATGCATTTTGTACATCCAGCCCTCAAATTTTTTAATCCTGCTATGTATAATTAAAAACTAGGTATCTTTTAAAATTATTGAATTAAAATTTAGAATTTTGTTTTTCTCATGATTAGATGTTACTAATATAAAAAATCATGACTTTTCTATTTATTTTATATATATATATACATATTTCTTTTCTTTAAGAAAGAAGGAAGTAATACTTCAAAGAAAGCTAAAGTTCATATAAATACTTCTCCTAAAGACACTGAAAATAACTTGAATGATAATTCATTCTCACATGAAAGTGTGAATAATTCACCTATATCAGCTGCCAATTCTTCAAATGGTCCTTTTCCTAAAAGAAAAACAGGTAATTCAGTTACAGTTTTTTTACTTGCAATTTATTTATTTTTAGGATTGAAAATGAATTGGATAGATTTTATTGGTGGCGGTTAAAATTCAGCATAATTTTCTATTATGCTCCCATTAATCTTTTCATCTTCAATAAAAGTAACACCATGATACTAAATTCTTATGATTAATAATGGATTTAATTAACATACTGAAAGCAGAAAGATAAGAGCGTGTCTAGTGGTACTTAGATTAAGATACATTTCAAGTTTACAGTTCTGAATTTGAACTAATATCCTACTGTCTCTTATGTACGGAAGTATTACATTCTCACTTATATATATGTACTGAAGAGCCAAAACATTATAACCACCTTCCTTAATAACATTTTGCACGATCTTTGGCCTGCAAAACAGCTGCAACTCGCCTTGGCATGCATATCACAAGCTCTTATTAGATGACTGGTACCAAATGTTTAAGCAGCAGTTATGCAAAGTCGAGATATTCCGACATGGTGCTCTCCCCCCTGAAGTCCTGCTATGCTGCCTCAATGTGGTGGTGGGGAGCGTCACTGGGCGGAACGGGCGAAATATGTCGGGAACATAGCTCCTGGTAGAGCCCCTTCCCTAGGCGTAAAAGCCATTCCAACATGCCTGGCTAAAGTATAGCAGGTGAAGATCCTTCAGGGAATTGCCGTCTTGGTGATCGGGTGTCACAATCCTGAAGCCCCAATGATCTCTCCTCTTTTCTGTCTCCTCTCCTCTTAACTTCAACTTTTCTTGTTTTCCTTCTCCCTTGTGGTTTCCTCTTCTGAGGTTCGGGCTCGTCATAAGAAACTGGAACAGCCTTGTCCCTAGTTTTTCGAGTGGTGAGAAAACTGCCTACGTGTTTGCCATGCATGGAGACCCGTGTCACTGGAAAGGAGGATCCTGGTAGTTGAGGGGTGAGGTACTGTTCCCAACACACTGCTTTGGCCTCTGCTTCAATTAAACGGGTGGCACCTTGTTGTACTTGCAGATGTCAACTGGCTGGTCACTAGTTTTTGTGTCAGTGGCTTGGGGACAAGCTCTCGGGAGTACCTGCTTTTTGGGAAAGCTGACTGTGAGACTTCAGTTTGTGTATAGGTCCGGCTAGCCCTGGCGTAGGAATCTACGTCCCCTTGTTGGGCTCCATGATGGGTGGGGTGGTCAGACCTGCGTCTTTTTCCATTTAAATATGAATGCTATGATACCTTCCTGCTCCAACAATGTACCCGATACTCTGATTGTGACCAAAAGACTAAGAAGGGACATAGAAAGCTCTGTCTCAGAGGATTTTTTCCACATTTCTTAATTATAACCAGCTTTGAAGAACTGAAAAAAATGTCACCTTTTCTAATAAACAAACTCTTTTCTAATAAACAAACATCTTTTGTCTTCTGTAGGAGAACTGAAAAATATTAAGAGACTTCGGTCTGGGGACCTTTTGATAGAAACTGTGTTTGGAAAGCAGTCTAATAGTCTTTTAAAACTAATTAAATTAGGACAAGCAAAAGTTGAAGTTAAGCCACATAACACTCTGAACTCATCCCGAGGAGTAATCTCTGAAATAGACTTACTATCAGTAACTGAGGAGGAATTCGTTAAAGAGTTGGCAGATCAAAAGTGTGATGCTCGTAGGATCAAAATACGGAAAGACAGTCAACTCATTCCCACTGAACATGTCATACTTATCTTCAAGTCTCCTAACCTGCCTAAAAACATCAAAGATGGATACCTAAACTATTTAGTCAGGCCGTATATACCAAATCCAATGCGTTGCTTCAAATGTCAGTGCTTTGGACATGAAAAGACCTCCTGTCGCGGTAGCCTCACGTGCACTCGATATTCCATTGTAGGCCACGCCAGTGAAGGCTGCTCTGCTACTCGCTTATGTATAAATTGTAAAGGCGAAGCGAACACCTAGCTTTTTCAAGATCATGTCCAAAATGGCAGACAGAAAAACAAATTCAAAACATTAAAGTTACACAAAAGATATCATTTGCAGAAGCCAAAAGACATGTTCTCTCTAATCAACCAAGACCTAATAAATCTTATGCATCCGCAACAAAATCATTCAGATCAATATCAATGCAAACCACAATAACCGCACAGAAAAAAGAACTAGCAATGACAGAAGATCCTAGAAACCAAAAATCAGGGGGGAAAACTGATGTTGAAAGTAATACGCCAGTGACTGCATCCAAAGGAAAACAGGATGCCCAACAGAACAAACGTACAAATATTATCAAGGGGAAAAATAAGCAAAAATCCAGGACCCCCAGTCAAATTTCTATTGCAGGCATGAGTTCAGGACGCCTAGAGGACTCGGACGAAATGAATGTTGAACAAGGGTTATCCCTTCCAAAACACCTTTTGCCTCGAAAGTAAAAAAAAAAAAAAAAAAAAAACCACTGCCAAAACAAGTATCCATAATGGGTACATTTATTTTGTGGAATTGCCGGGGTTTCCATCAAAACCTGAATAATATCAAGGATTTAATCAACATCTATCAACCTGCCTGCTTTGCACTTCAGGAGACCTTGTTAAAACCAAGCAGACATGCTAAGATTTGGAGATATACCACAGTAAGAAAGGACAACCCATCTGGAGATCGTGCCTGTGGTGGTGTGGGCGTTATCGCCTCCCACAATCACCCATACACTGCTCTCCCTTTGACAACCTCCCTTCAAGCTGTGGCGGTTCAGATTAATTTACGCTTTTCAATCTCAGTATGCACTATTTATTTACTCGCACCTGAGCATATTTGAGCAGCGAGAGTTGGACAGAAGAATAGAGCAGTTCCCAGAACCTTTTTTTGTTTTTAGGTGACTTCAATGCACATAGTACCTTATGGGAAAGTAGGGACACTAATTCAAGGGGCTGGCAGATTGAACAAATAATGGAAGATAATTTTATTTGTCTCCTTAATAATGGAGAATACACCTACTTTCATCAGCCGACTAGAACATTTCATGCAATTGATCTGGTTTTTTTGTTCTCCATCTCTACTACCTTTTTGCTCTTTCAGTATAGTGGAGAATCTCTACGATAGTGACCATTTCCCAGACATTGTAAATATTACAGAAAAGTCTGTGATTTCAAGACAACCACGCTTACTTTACAATAAAGCTAATTTTGATCTTTTTGCATCTTGTGCTGTGCTGACTGAAGAAATGGTTAACGGTGTGGACATTAATACAGCAGTAAAAATCATCTCTCATACTATTGTACAAACAGCTGAACTGTGTATTCCAAAGTCCTCAACAAAGTGCCCAAAGTTTCCTAAATCCTGAAACTTCAAGATAGCAAAAGAAAGATTGGTGTATCTTTCCCAGATATCCAACACTGGCAAATCTTCTAGCCTTTAAAAAAGCTAAGGCTATCAGGACTTGTGTTCCTCTTTACTTGCCTTGGAAACATGAACTGTCCTGACTCGGAACAGGGAGCTTACTCAAGCTATGTTCAATAAATTGTGAAGTAGACGATACACACAGGAAGGGTATACGAAACCCTTTATTTTTCTATCTTTACAGAGGTTTCCGGAACTTCAGAATACAGAGACCAACCACTTGTGGTCTGAACGTAAGAATATAAAAATATTAACTAAAACTAAACTAACTTTGGATTAATATACAAGTGCCTAACTTGAAGATTGGCCGTTATTTAACAAAATCCGTATGTAGTACAGAGAGCTGCTAAAACTACAATACGTTTGAACTATCAAGAGGATTAAACCTCTGGCCTTGAAGGCAACCAGCAACCGAGTAAAACTACTATGGCAAGCGGCCTGCTTCTAATAACTCCTTCCTCTCTCTTCCTTGGCAAAAAGCCACAACTTAACTACTTGGCGTTAGCAAGACAAATTTGCATAAATAAGTTAAAGCTTTTAATTCTGGCCGGAAGTAGAAAATAAGAAGTGATAGTAAAGATTTAAAATAAAATAAACGTTAGTAAAACTTAAGGATCCTTACATACTTCCCACCAGAGTTAATTAGTTTGAAACTGAGGTCTAAAACGACCTTGTTGAAAACTTTTAGCTCTAGAATCTAACGCGAGGCCAATCTTTTACAAAAACATTTCTCACTCTAGAAACTAGAAATTAAAAAAGTCGTTTTTACATTATCAACTCCATGGACAAGTATTTTTCATCTGTACTGCATCTATAAACAGGAGTTTCTTAGTTGAAATCTGGTTCCTGGAAGGAAAACTAGTTTAATGAAATGTTACACAATTAAATGGCAAGTAACATGAATACTTATATTTCTCTTAACATTCTTATTTCATTCATGACGTTATTTAATTATCTCCCCGTGCTCTCTGACATGTGTTGTAAAGAAAAACACCAAACACGAGCGTGTCTATGTACAAGTGTTCAACACTACCGCCTGCAATCAAAACACTAACGTGTTAAAATTCAACATAACAAGACCTCAGAACACACCTTATATTCATCTCTAAACCCTGAGGTACTATTCTGAAAAGTGGCTAACTCTGAAGTGTAGCGTCAGAGAGCCTAACTACATTCATTCAACCTTTAACACATATTCACAATAATTTGCTCTTTTTACAGTCACACGAATAAGTTAAAATTTTTGGCATTACTCTAATATTTTTACTTTTAACATATCACAATATTTCTTAACTTTTAAGATAACAGTTCACATTGTATATAAGGACATATTAACATGCCGTTAATTTTACGCATTTTAAAACATACATTAGTAGTACATTGTTAACTTCTATTCTTTTCCAAGCAAGTGCCAATTCTTCTACATTGAAATACTACATTTCAAAAGTCTTTCAGACTAAAACTTCTTTCTTGCCAGAATCTTTTAAATAAAATTTTATACAATAATTTTTTACAATTTTCTTAAGGTACCTTTCTCAAAGATTATCAATGCTTTTACAATATTCAAGTATTTACACATTCCTATTATACATTAATTTTAGTTTTACTCGCGAGTAATTGAAAAACATAATACCAAAATAGGTAACAACT